AGGAGGGTGGGCCGGACCTCACATCGCCATCTGGTGCCTCTTGTCCAAATGTTCCTGGCTCTGAGAGGGCCCGGGCATGGGACAGAATGTACTGGCTGCCATGGCAACCATGTATGGGAATTCATTTCTTATATTTAAAGGGGATTATCTATAGGGAAACTGGTTTGAATACTTCTGTCACATCAGTTGCCTTCCTCAGAATATAAAGATGTGAGGGATTTGGGTTTTCAGGAATTATCATTGTCCCCTTAGTTGGCTGGCTAAATCATTCCCACATTCCTCACACTATCTTCTTTGGGGTTTTATTAACTCCCTTCCTTTCCCCCAGCCCCAAGAATATTAGGATTTTATCCTGTCAGTGAGGCTCTTTAGTTGCTGTTTGGAAATGGTATCATTGCTGGCGTCTTGATTATATTTATCCTCAGCTCTGCGAGATCTCTGCATTTTAGACTTCACTGTAACTTAGTGACACAAGTACAGTGACTAGGAAATCTTGGTTTCTGCTCATTTTCCCCTTCTGCCTCAAAAAGACTCTACACTCTGACATAGAGAACTAGATCTTTCAGGAGTTTTCCAGGGCCTGACAAAGAGCCTTGCCTCTGTGTGACCCGGCAGGCTGGTGAGCTGCTCATACCTGAGGCCACCTGGCGAGCGAATGTTCTTCCAGGTGAGCAGTGACCGTCATGCACAGCACCCTGGTAATGGCACGGCAGCCAAAAAGGGTGCTCATGGCTTGAAAGATGAGAGGGAGCCCAGCACTCTGAACGGAGCCTTGCTCAGATGCTCGCCTGCCAGCTGTCTGCTGCCTTTTCAGAGGGACCATGCGCAGAGAATGCAGGTGCCCTGAGATGCTGAATTATTCACTCCTCGGCAATACAATATGCTGCATTTATGACGTTTGCTGATTGTTTTGTCGCTTGCTGAAGTTGACGGTATGGGAGGCTGGATATCCTCAGTCTCCTGTGCCATCAGAACCAGTCTGCTGGGTAGTTATGGACATTCAGTGCCTCTAATGACCTTATAGAAACACAGGGATTCCTGGACTCCTGATACTAGAAGAAGCCTCTGGTTAGACAATTGCCAGTTGTATCTGTGTTCTCTTTTTTATATCCCAGTGCCCACAGTCTTTTCTCTATAACCCACATGCTACCCTTTAAAACCTTACTGGTGGGCTTATCACCTTCACAGGACAGCTTCCTTTAAAGGTTCTCTGAGCAGTTTAATTATATGTTTCAGTCAGCGTTCAGTTGAGGGGCAGAGGCCCAGAGAGGAGAGCGACAGAACCCATTACAGGGCAGAATGGGAGGGAAAACCACGCTTCAGCATTTTCTATCCCCATGCACTGCTACGACCTGCGAGGCCATGCGTTGCATCATGGAAACACAGGTGTTTGGGATGGCGTCACTTCCTGGGATTGCATCACTTCCTGACCACACTTGCACACAGAGCAGGATGATGATGACAGTCCATGCAGCCCCCTGTTCTGCCCCCTCTGCAGCTTTTTAGGGCATGCTTTAGGAGTCACACACGAGAAAATTATGACCCATTTAATATCGTTCTCCTCATTCTGTATATTGAAGTTAAATTTATGCTACTTTTACTCTTTCCTTGCCTAACTCAATGAAAGGGCCAGTGAGAAGCTATTCTGCACAGCAATTCCAGAGGATAGAAACCCGTTATTAATATTCCCCTTAAATCATTACAACTCTGAAAACAAAAGCAAATAAAAATGTCATTTCTGAAATTCATTACTGTTCGTAGAAAGCAAACAAAAGCTTTCTTTCTTGATAGACACTGACTGTATTAGAAAGATATGGAGAAAAAGCACTCAGACGCAGTAATGTTTTAGAAAATTTGTGAATACATTTTATTTTAAGTAAATATTACATTTTGAAAAAGCTAAAAGATCTACTATCTCTCACCTACATGAAATATGCACAATAGGAAATTAGACTTTTAAGAAAAAAAATACTCAGAAAAAATACCTAATAAATGCTAAGACATGGGCTATTTTTTTCTTTCTCCTTTCAGTGTAACACCTTCAGCAGGTAGGAACGATTAATTGCAGCATGAAGAAAGAATTTTACTTAAAAGAAATGGCTTAAAGTACTAGTAAATGAGGCTGTGAACAAAACACCCCCCCAACAAAACCCCCAAATCTTTGTTTTTAAGCCAGATAAAAGAATTGGTTTTTTAAAAATCTTTTTTCCCTCCCAGACAGAGAGAAAGAGAGAAGATAGAGTACTCTGTCCACTTTTTGCCTTTATTCAAGGTCCTAGACAGTACGGTCTAAGCCTAGCTATCTTTGGGAATGTTATGTATCAAACCATTTTTAGCCATTGCCATAGTGGCATGAATTAAATTCACCAGGTTAACAAATCATGGTCTTAGCCAGACTCTGATGGTCTGGAACATAGCACTGGTAGGTTCTGACCAACCAGCAATGGGTAGAAAGCACTGGAGCATTGAACACTGTCGTGGACAGTGCATTCCATCAAGTTCTACAAGGAGGGCTATTGAAATGCTGGGAGTCAAGATGAAGGTATAGAATACCAGGACTGGAGAAGAAGGGGAGAACTTTGAAATGTAACAGACTTACATCCTGCATGCGTGTGTTGTGTTTGTTTAAGAAAAGAGAGGGAGTCAAGTTCAGGAATGGAAGTGATTCTGCCCCCACCTGCAGCTCTAGTCCGTAAGCACATTCTCTGGAGAGAGACTGAGAGGGGAGGTGGGAGTCTCATGGTGTGGTATGATCATCTTTCTACTCCTACTGAGGATCTAGGATTTCAAGTGACAAAGCTTTCATTCATCTAGTTGCAAGCCAGGGACTTTACCTCGTACTCAGTAAAATAAACACGATCCTCCCCAACACAGGAGGGAAATGTGCTGTTCCGAACTCACAGAGAGGTGGGCAGTGTTCAACATGATGCCTCCTTCGGGATCCAGAGTAATTTCGACTATCCTGGAATGTTGCTTTATGCTCTCTAGAGAACCTAACACCCCTGGAAGACAAAGACTATTGATCAAAATGGCACTGAAAAGAAATTCCTCTTAATTTTGCAATCTGACTGGGTCAAATCGATATGCTGGTGTAGAATCTATTTGGAAGTTGGAGGTGATTGTGTTGCATGGACCATTCTTTAATAATGTAGAGGAAAGTGGATGGCTTATTGAGCAAGGAACATTTTATTGCTGAAAATTATGACTGTCTTAGCAAATGCACATACTGTGATGGAATCAATATTCAATAATGTTAGAAAATAGATGAGAAATGTAAATGATTTTGCTATTTTCTTGGTTTGGAGCAAAATGCTCATTAAATTCTAGAGGCGTCAAGCTGTCGCATTTCCTGAATGCTCAGGGCGTAGGCAGGAACTGCAGGGAAGGAGACACACCTCTCTGTTTGAATCTGATGGTTGGCAGAGTAGGTGGGAGTGAAGGGCTGATGTGCCAACCTTCAGGGCCGGGGTAGGAGGCTTGGCTGCCTTCTTACAGCTCGAAGGGGATCATGTTATCTGATACATTTAACTATAAGTCCTTGTCTTGCTTTAAAAATGTTCAGCCCATTTCACCAAACATTTACTCTGGTTAGACAATTGCCAGTTGTACCTGCTTTCTCTTTTTATATCCAAGTGCCCACAGTCTTTTCTCTATAACCCACACACTGCCCTTTAAAACCTTACTGGTGGGCTTATCAACTTCACAAGACAGCTTCCATTAAAGGTTCTCTGAGCAGTTTAATTATACGTTTCTATGAATCCTGGGAAGTCAGACAGCTCTTAAACTCTGACATTTAGTGAACAAAAGATACCAACTGAGTAAGACCCCTTTGTTGTTTTTAAATCCATGGTTGAGTTTGATCCTGCTGACTAATAGCGGCTCTTAATCCCTTCATAGGTTCTAGAGTTAGAAAGAAAGTTTCCAAGTTGGCTAGCTATATAAAATATCACTGAAGAGGCCAATTGTAAAATTGGCCACACTTAAAGTAGGGCAGGAGCGAGACCAAAATGAGGTGTCAGGGGAAAATTCCAGGGTTGCATTCTCTTAGATCATCACCCAGCCTTTAATTTAAATTTTCTGTTGGTGGAATATTAACAGCATACTTGCAATTCAAGAAAGCACGCGCCTCCCTGAAGTGTGAGCCAGGCTGGGGGAGTGGACCTGCCGAAGGTGCTGTCCTGCCCGTGTTCCTATTACTGCTTTTGTGTTAGAACAGCAAAGACCTTTATTGATATTTTCATAATTAATTCTCACAGTTTCCCAAGACTGTCTCTACTTTACCTTCCACATCCAGGTGGTTAGAAATTCCTATTAATTTTATCACATCAAAGGCTCCCAAATCTGTCCCCTCCTTTTCATCCTCACAACTCTTGACTTTGCCCCCCTCCTAACTCTGCCTCCCCGATTGCCTCAACACCTCCTAATGGGTGTCCCGGTTGTTGTCTTCTGTCCATCCTCCAGTCTGCTGCATTTTTCTAGAATGCAAATCTGAACATCAAGACCTTCTGCCTCAACTCTGTTGATAGCTTATTGCTTATTTCCCTTAACTAATTTTATCCAGCTGTGACAATATATATAATATGCAAAAATAAAGGCTCATACTTTCTTAGCAGGGACATACCTGTCATTCCGTGTCCCTCATCTTCCTTCCCCACCTCCCTGCACTAGGATCCTTTGTCCCAAAAGCAGCACGGTGTTTAGAACTCATGCACACTTGTGCGCGCGCACATACACATGCGCGCGCACACACACCTCCTCACTCTTTCACAGTTCCTTTCTTTGCACACAGTGTCCCCATGTTTTCTCCCAAGATGCCCTTCCCCTCCTTGTCTACCTGCCCCAAACCCATTTGTCCTTCATACTCATGGCAAGTGTTATATCCTCTAGGAAGATTTCCTAGACTGTCTGTCTGTTCCCTCTCCGCCTTCCCTCAGCAGAGCTCACCCTTCTTCTCACCGCACTTCCACATTCCATACCATAATTACTCGTGTCCACACTGGGGCTCTTTGAGGCTAAGGATTGTGTCATAGTTGTGATTGAGTAGCAGGTAATAAACCTGACAGTCATAAACTGTTGAGACCAGAGAGATGACTTTCTTCTTAATAAGTGAGTTCAACTTTGTTCTTGAGGCCCCCGGCTAACTAAAGGATTCTGATTCTAGCCCATTTTGTGAAACTTAAGTCCAATTGAGTGGCTTCTTTGGGAAGGTGCAAATTTCAGTGTTTATGTGCCATTTTCCCAGCCTAGTTCAAAGCTAAGTCACTCAGGTAAGTATTGTTTTTAAGGGCTTCTTCTCTCCCTTCTCCCTGGGCAGCGTGTGGCTCTGGCTGTAAGCAGATCCTTACGTAAGGCCATGGCAGTGAGGACAGGGAGCTCTGAGCCATCTGGTGATCACCAAGTCCTCATGATGATAAACTGCATAGTTTGCCTTTGGTATCTTTGAGGTTTCTGGCCCCTGACACTCATTCCTATCATGAGATTTTCACTCTATTTGTCTGACTTATAAACTCTAACCTTACTCCTGTCCCCGAATGGAATATAAAGTTCTGAATCTCTACAGTCATGAACAGGCTGTAGGGGACAGTTATTGTAATCTCAGGCGTGGTTTGCCTTGCCATGCCAGGCTGCCATTTCACTTGATATGGACACCCCTTGTTGTCATGAGGTCTCCTCTTAGATTTCTGAATGGAGAGAGAGGGTCATAAGAAACTGAGCTTCTATGATTACTACCCACTTCCACAAAACACCCCCTGCTGGAAAGGCACACCCCACTCTAACCTCGTCCCCTCAGTCTCTCCAGGCTCCAAGCCCACAGCCCCACCCGGGCTCTTCTTTCTCTTGTCAGGGGAGAACTTACTTTATGTCAAGTCCTAGATTCTTCCCTGATCATCAGTCCTGTGGCCAATTCTCTAATATTTTATTCTT